CCACACGGGTCAGGGCAGTTTTATTATTATTTTTAAACAAGCAAAAGTTTATTTAAAAAGTCACAGAGGTAAAAGCAGTGAGCCGTGGAAGAAGTGAGCCAGCTGGGCTACGTGGGCGCAGGAAACAAGTTGCGGAAGCAAAAGAAGCTTGGGGCTTAGGAGGGAGAAAACAAAGGTATGAACCTTGAGGGAGGAAAGGGAGGAGAGGCACGGGTGTGCTAGGGAGAGGGAGAGAGGGAGGCCAGAAAGTGGCTTCTTGTTGGACCCCAGGGAAGAGCCACCTCTGGTCAGCATGTTGCCTGCCCTGTGCCACCCCCTTTCAGGCTGAGTTAAGTTTCCAGCATTTCATAAATCCTTCTTTTTTTTTAGTACATTTCATTGATTATGCTATTACAGTTGTCCCAATTTTTTTTTCTCCTCTTTATCCCCCTCTGCCCTATTTCCACCCCCTCCAGAATTCCCCCCTGCCCTTAGTTTATGTCCATGGGTTGTACATGTATGTTCTTTGGCTTCTCCATATTCTATATTATTTTTAATCTATTTTGTCCCTACCAATTATGCTTCTTAATCCCTGTACATTTTTCCCCCATTCTCCTCCTCCCTCTCTCCAGTGATAACCCTCCATGTGATCTCCATTTCTGTGATTCTGTTCCTGTTCTAGTTGTTTGCTTAGTTTTTGTTTTTGTTTTTAGGTTCAGTTGTTGATAGTTGTGAGTTTGTCGTCATTTCACTGTTCATGGTTTTGATCTTCTTTTTCTTAGATAAGCCCCTTCAACATTTCATATAATAAGGGCTTGGTGATGATGAACTCCTTTAGCTTTACCTTGTCTGGGAAGCACTTTATCTGCCCTTCCATTCTAAATGATAGCTTTGCCGGAGAGAGTAATCTTGGATGTAGGTCCTTGCCTTTCATGACTTTGAATACTTCTTGCCATCCTGTTCTTGCATGCATTTCTTTTGAGAAATCAGCGGACAGTCTTATGAGAACTTCTTTGTAGGTAACTCTGTCCTTTTCTCTTGCTGCTTTTAAGATTCTCTCCTTATCTTTAATCTTGGGTAATTTAATTATGATGTGTCTTGGTATGTTCCTCTTTGGGTCCAACTTGTTTGGGATTCTCTGAACTTCCTAGGCTTTCTGGAAGTCTATTTCCTTGGCCACATTGGGGAAGTTTTCCTTAATTCTTTTTTAAAAAAAATATTTTATTTATTTATTTATTCAGAGAAGGGAAAGAAGGGAGAGAGGGAAAGAAACATCAATGTGTGGTTGCCTCTTGCACCCCCAAAATGGGGACCTGGCCTGAAACCCAGGCATGTGCTCTGACTGGGAATCCAACTGGTGACCCTTTGGTTCAGAGGCCAGCACTCAATCCACTGAGCCACACAAGCCAGGGCTCCTTCATTATTTTTTCAAATAAGTTTTCAGTTTCTCGCTCTTTCTCTTCTCCTTCTGGCACCCCTATGATTCAGATGTTGGAATGTTTAACATTGTCCCAGAGGTCCCTAGGGCTCTCCTCGTTTTTTTGAATTCTTATTTCTTCATTCTGTTCCAGTTGGAATGTTTATTTCTTCCCTCTGTTCCAAATCATTGATTTGAGTCCTGGTTTCCTTCCCTTTACTGTTGGTTCCCTGTATATTTACCTTTATTTCACTTTGCACAGCCTTCACTTCTTCCTCTGTTTTTCATCTGTACTCAGTCATTTTTGTGAGCATCCTGATGACCACACTAGACTATCTTTCCACGGCTGAATCCTCTCCATCTGTGAGGCCTTTCTTGGCCACCAGAGCAACGGACAGGAAGCCCCTCTGATGTTTACCTGCTGGATTATACTGTGGGTCCCAGGCACTTGCATCAGAGACCATTTCAGGCTAGAGAAATTCTAACCTGATCTCAGGGGTGAACAAAGTAGGAGAGGCTCCGATGAGAAGCCAGGACCCTTGGGTTCAAATTCCTGGGTGTCACCAGATTGGCCAAAATTAGGAAGACTGACACGAGCGGTGGTGACAAGGACATGGGGCAAGCGGAACTCTCCCGCATTGCAGGCGGGAATGCAGGCAGAACCGCTCTGGAGAGCCCTTCGGCTGCATCTAGGCGGGCTGAGCGTGCTGCCCTACGATGCAGCAGTTCCGCCCCGGGTGCCTGCTTGCACAGGCACACCAGACGCCACAGGCAAAATTGTTCGCAACAGCTTTATTTGTTAACAGTTCAGAACTAGGAACAGCCCAGCTGTCCACCAACAGTAGAAGGGCTAAGCATGTGGGGTGTTCCTATAAAGGGCTACTACACAGCATGAAAAAATGAGCTTCTGACACACAGTAACGCGGATGAACTCACAGACATAATAGTGAGCAAAAAGGTCTGTATGACTCCATTTTTATAAAATTTAAGAGCAAGTAAAACTAATTTATAGTGATGGAGGTCAAAACCATGTTGGCTTCTGGGGGCTACTGACTAGACCAGGAAACAAGGGCACCTTCGTGGGGGCTGGCCATGTCCCGGCTCTGGCTCCGGGGGGCGACTGCAGGTGCGCACATGTGAGGACTCAACACGTGCTCTAAAAACAGGCGCGCGTTGCTGAGTGCATCCTGTATCTCAAAGTCGGGGAAAAAGAGAGAAATGGCTAAATGAAGGCACGTTCTGGGTATGGCTGACAAGTTATTTTTGCTGCCTGCACCCAACCTTCTCTCTTTGTCTCGTAAGGACACATCTCTTCCTCTTTCAATGTGTTTTATTTTATTGTTATTTTTAAAATTTACTTATTCTTAGAGGGGAAGGGAGGGGTAAAGAGGGTGAGAAATGTTGATGTGAGAGAGAAACATCGATTGGTTGCCTCTCATTGATGTGAGAGAGAAACATCGATTGGCTGCCTCTCATTCGTGCCCTGAACGGGAACGGACCCCAGGACCCAGGCAGGTGCCCCGACCAGGAAGCGGACGGGCGGCCTTCCGCCTTGCGGGACGCCGCCCAGCCACTGGGCCACACGGGTCTGGGCAGTCGCTGTGTTTTAGGTGGCGCTCACTCCTTTGCAGGCCCCAGATCAGAACACCATTTCTCCTACCTGTGGTGAATGGTTTAGGGACGGGAACGGGACCAAGCTGGCTAGTGCGTCAGTTCCGGAACTTTTTGTCAAAACTAGTAGAAAAAGATGTTCTTTCCACTGCAGTTCCAATCGCCCCTGGAGTGGCCAGGGGCCCTCTCGCCACGTTCTGGAGTCTGCCCGAGGCAGCCACACAGGAAGACACCGTGGGATTAAATGCTCCCCAACGGCACTGTCCCAGCTGGGACCGGCCATCCCTGCACCAAGATTTCCCATGAGGCGGACCAGTGAGTGTCCTTCCCAGCTAACCGTTTCACGTTTCTCCCAGCTGTAACTGGAGTCGAATGCACTGAGAACCTCGGGGAAAATCATGAGAGGTATGAGGGGGCTTGGACTATAAAATACCCACGGAGCCTTGTGTGATCCGTTCTGCGGGTGCTGCCCCCGCGCCCGCCCCAGCGGCTGCTCGCTCCGGGGGCCGCGGCCCTGCCGGATGGGCGGGGCAGTGGAGGGGTCCTGAGGGACGGACTCCGGTCCTTGTCTGAAAAGGGTTCTGGAATAGGAAACCACAGAACTGGATTCCACTCCCCACTTTGCCGCCTTCTTCGTGCCAAGACCTTGGGCAAATTTCTCCACCTCGTCGAGCCCTGTTCGTTTCCTTTGAAACGGAGTATCATCACCCAGTTCAAAAGGTGGTCACGCAGATCAAATGCCAGCTTCCCACCTTCTCCAGCTTTCCACGACCTTGGCTAAGTCGGTGCCCGCATGCTGGGCATTCCCGCAGGGCCCGCTATGACCCTGCAACCATCGCCGCAATGGCGCGTGAGCTCCCTGAGAACAAGAAAGCGTTCCTCCCTGTGTCCCCATGCCAACAGGGCTGGGCACACACTCAGCTGGCAGGGACTCCCGAGTCCAGGCAACGCGGCCCTGCAGGCCAGGCTGTGGCATGGCGGACCCCGCCCCCGTCCCTCTGCCCTCAGTTCCTGGCCTGGAAGGTGGATGGGCCCCATTCTGACACCCTAGGTGGGGTAGAGGGCCTCTGAGGAAACTGCTGAGGCAGTGGGGAGCTGGGGGCTCGCCTGGGTGACTGTGTAGGGTCCTTCCCACCTGGCCAAGAGCAGGTACTCAGGAACTGCGTGCTGGGGGAAGCGTGGGAGCTACAGCGGCCTGGCCGCCATGCTCAGAGCAGGCTGTCTAAACAAAGGCTGGAAAGGACTCCTGAGGCCAATATGCCCCCTTCTCAGCTCATTGCTGGGTCATGGAAAAGGTTCTTCCAAGAGTCCCCAGGCCCAGGGGAAGTCCCACCGCCGTGAGTGCTGGGCAGGACAAGGCCACCTCTCCTTACGCAGCCTTATGCAACAGGCATTTGATGGCTGCCACTGCACATTAGGGAAGCGGCGGTGAACAAGGCTGGGCCTCCGTCCTGAAGGGTTAGCCTGAGAGCACCACGTGGGACACAGGTTCCACTCTGTCCACCCCTCTGCCCCCTCTCTCTGTTCCTGGCCCCCTGCAATCCTTCTGCAAAGCAGCCAGAATAATCCTTACAAGCAAAGCAGATCACAGCACTGGGTGAACGCTTTTCAAGACCTCCAAGAGGGTCGGCCACTGTGGAGGCGGAGGCGGCTGTGCTGCGTCTCGGGTGCCTGGGAAGACTTCCGCAGGGTTGCTGAACAATCTGGATGTCTCTCTCTGTCCCAGCTCCTAAGAGAAGTGTTTAGAACCCTGGGAGACTGAATGGAATACGGGTAAGGGGTCCAAATACACATATTAGGCTCAATAGCAATAAGGCCCCAAATCCTAGATCTGTTAAGTTGTAGTCTGGCTCATGGGAGAAATTTTTATTTTTTCTTGATTTTAGAGAGAGAAGGGAAAAAGAGAGGGAGGGGATGAGCGAACGAGATCAATTTGTCGTTCCACTTATTCATACACTCATTGGTGGATTCCAGTGTGTGCCCTCCTGACGGGGGACTGAAGTCGCAGCCTAGGCGTATGGGACCACGCTCTAACTGACTGAGCTACCCGGCCAGGGCTGAGAAATTCTTTATTTAGATGCTTCAGTGACCAAGAGACAGAGCAGAAGCATACACCCACACACCCACAGAGGACACTGAAGGCATTTCACAGGCGAGGGGCAAGGCATGGGGGGCGAGGCCATCACAGCAGCCAGGGGCTTCTCCGACCCAGCGAAGGGGGTCTTGGGTGGAGCCGCTCCCTAGGATTGCTGCTTGAAAGACACAGGGAAAGTACACTCCTCGTGAACTTGCGGCCGTAACATAGGGCGGCATTGGAGGTGCCTGGGTGGCATCTGGCCCCTCACCACGACACCTGCCCCAGCCCGTCTTTCCCGGGGCCCCGTCCCACGCCCTGGACCCAGGACTCTCGTGGAGGGGCTGGGGGAGGCTAGCACCGCGGCCGCCTGGGCAGGAGGTCTGCCGCACGTGGGCAAGGACAGGCCAGGGAGGGCCTGCAGGCTGCTGGCCCGGGCAGCCTGCCTTTAAGGGTGCAGAACCATCAAGCGAACTCCCCTGTGGGGGCTTTCCAGCTGCCCCAGGTCAGGGCGCCTCTGACGGAGGAAGGAAAACGCCCTGGAGCCTTGCCCCCTCCCTCTGGGTGCGGAGGTCTCCTCCAGCTCTGGTTTGTCCCCAGCTGCCGTGGGTCCTTAGCACCATTCAGGGACTGTGGAGAAGGGGAAAGGGACAGCAGCGCCCCGCCGGACAGTGGCATGACTGGGAGCGGACTTCGCTGTGGGCAGCAGCCTGTACGACAGCCAGCATCTGGTCCCAGGCTTAGCAAGCCTGCGCTTCTTGCGGGGAGGGGAGCGTCACACTAGCTCAAAGCTTCCACACGGCAGCTGCGGTCATCTGCCCTTCCCTGTCTAGGCCAAGGCATGGGAGTGCTGGTTTCGCAGGAGAGGCCTGGGGCCCGGGCGAGCTCAGAGGTTTAGCTGCGAGGACTGGTCTGAAAGTGACCTGCAGGGAGCACAGGCCTGGAGCCTCAGGGCGCACGGCCCAGGGGGGCTGGGGAAGGGGAGAGGCCACGCCCCAGCCGCCACCCTGTGAGCGCCCACGTCCTTCTGGGCCCTGCTTCCCTTGCCCTGACCCTCAGGGCCCGCTCCAAGGGGGCGCATGTGCCCGGGCCGCTGAGAGGCTGCCTGCGGCCCACTCCTGCCTCGGGCTGGGCCAGAAAGGGGGGAGAGGGAGCCAAGGGCTGACCACCGGCACGGGCACGGCACGGGGAGGCTGGCTCCTGCCGCTTCGACCTGCGGTGCTGGGCGGAAGCACCTCTAGTCTTCCAAGGTAGTTGAGTCTCTCTGAGCGGGTCGTCTTTGCGTTGGGATCTGGCCCAGGGGTGAGGATGCCGTTTTTGGTGACCTGTAATGTGGGAAGGAACAAAGGCCCGGGTCAGTCTGTGGTGGCTGTCATGGTGCTCAGGTTGCTTGCTCTAATGGTACCGCAGCTTCCCCAGGCCCTTGGGGTGACAAGCAGGACCGCTGCCCTTTACTGAGGCCGCTGTACACGAGGCACGGCGCTGGATGCTCTGCTCCAGCACCCCGTTTTGTCCTGATGGCCATTTGGCAAGGCAGGTGGGGGACAGCACCTACATTTTACATACGAGGAAACGCAAGTTCCCCGAATGTAAGTGACCTGCTCGCAGTGAGCGTCTACGTGTGGCAGGCTGGGGACACAGCTGTGTCTTCCCACCATACCAAGCCCCGTGTTCTGCCTGCAGGCGCATGGGGCCAACCGGCACAGGCTGGCTGTTGTCGCCTCAGCCGAGTGAATCTGCAGTGGCCCTCCTGTCACTCTCCATCCCACCCTCTGGGCACCCAGCACCACCTGCTCTTGTCTCCCTTGTTTATGGATTTGTTTAGAATTTGCTTCCACCATGAGAGGGCGGACCCACAGCATCAGTAGCAGCGCTGGTCTTGATTCCTGCTGTTGCTCAATGTCCATATCAAAGCCGGGCGGACACCTACGGCGCTCAACTCACAGTACCCCCGAGGGATGGCTCCCACTAATGGCGCTAGCCCCCAGAAGCTATCATCGCTAACCCGCACAGCGTCCCAGACGGTGAGCATTATCAGCTCCATTTGGAAGCGGCAGAGCTAAACGCACAGGCTCTGGCATCGAAGCGGTTTGAGCCCTGGGTCTAACTCCCAGTACCCGTGTGACCCTAGGCCACCACCTGACCCACCTGCCACAGGGGCTCTTTGGGTTGTAAAAGGGAGTCCTAACTCAGAGTTGTGAATTAAACAGTAGAGTCCTACTGTTGTGAATTAAACGAGATCGAATTAGGTGTTCAAAGAATTACAGCCATAGTTTTACAGAAGAGGAACTGGGGGCTCAGAGAGGTTCACTGACTTGCCCAAGGTGACGTAGGTGGGAAATGTATGGGCAAAGCAGTAAACGCCACGAGCATTTTCAGGTACGGACGGCCCCAGGACAGGGCTCGGGTGGCACCAGACGGGCTGCGAAACTGCCACCTGTCAGGGCGCCACAGGCTGCGGGCGTGCCGAGCACAGTGAGCTCCAAGCTGGGGCGCGGGGCTGCTTCCAAGGCCGTGTCTAGGGGACATCTCAAGAGCCTTCCCAGGGAAAGACATACCGACAAATAAGGAGAAGCCCTGCGGCAGGGGGAGGCGGCCCGAGGCAGGGAGGGGGCGGGAGCACGGGGGTCTCCACACTGTCTCCACCACCTTTAAGTCATTCGGCTCTGTGAGTAGAGCAGGACCAAATACCAGGCACAGCAATCATTTCGGCAGACTCACCTGCCTGGAACCCAGGTTCCTTGTCTGTAAATTGGGCATAATTCCTACCTCAGAAGCTATGTTGTGGCACACTGACCCCTCCACACAGTTCCTTCCTGAGAGGAAGGGACATAACCCCACGGGCCCTCCCTGGCTGCCTCATCCTGCGTGTTGCCACACGGTGCCCTGGAGGGCGTGCTGTGCGCTGGACAAGCCGTGGCTGGGGTTATGACCCCGAGTCATAGGGTCACCGTTGAAGGTGCCTATACCTGTAAAATCAGAATATGACCCCTTCTCCCCAGGGCTGCTTGAGAATTACCTGAGAAAATTTGCTTGGTATATAGCCTGCAACAGACCCGGTGCTCAAAGAATGTTAGTCATTTTCTTTTCTTTCTTTTGTTTTTTTGGAGAGAGTAAAGCTTTTATTCACTCTCCAAGAAAGGGGAGGGGTGTGGTGTGGAGAGATATACCAGCCAGAATGTTAGTCATTTTCGAGAGTCATGAATAGACAACTCTTTGTTCACCTCTTCCCTTCAAAGAACTCACCACAATTTGTAATGAATGGCTGTTTACTTATGTTGTCTCCTCCCAGCAGAATGTAAGGTTTTGAGAGCAGAGACTGGAGTTGTTCCAGCCTCTACTCAGGGCCTCGAGTAAACACGGGACTAAGAAAGGAAAGAACCTGGTCATACTTGGTAATGACCTGTAGAGGGAGCCCTCGCCACAGAACGGTGGTAATGAAGACCCGGGTCTACAGGCCAGTGAGAAAAGGCTTCCCTGGGCAGCCTGCTGCAGGCCGGGAAATCCGCGTGCTCTAGGGGACCACGGCAGAAACCGTCTGTGCTTCTCTACCAAAACTTCCAGCCCAAGAGGTCCACAGGCCGGGGGAAGCTGATGGGAGCAAACTTCCTGAGGAGACACTTCCTTCTGTCAACTGGGAAAAGGCTGCCAGGATTCCCTTTTAGCCAAGGAGTAACCTCGCTTTGTTCTGATCCGGAGGCCCAGGGCTCCTGCTGCAGACCCTTGAACTTCAAAGAACGATTACTCACTGGTTCTTGTGTTTGAAGCCGCTGACATGAGCTTGGTACTGTTCTATGGAGTTCAGCACGATCTTACACGTCTTGCACGGGTAGCCCTTCCCGGCTGAAACACACATCAAAGCCAGGCTGATTAGTTACCTAGTAAGAGGGGACCTGGGGACTCCCGCTCCCCACAGTGCGTGTACTGGTCCTTCTGAGGACAGAGGGGTGGGTGCGGCCAGGAGGTTGGCCGGACGAGAGCGCCAGAGGCCTCCGTGCTCGGGGGCACGTGCTATGAGCCCATGTGCTCCCTGAGGACGGAACCTCTTCTCTCCCTCTGTGCCCCCAGCCCAGCGCCGAACCTGTCCGGAGCGGCTGTCTGTCGAGCAGGTACCAGACGGACAGAACACAGAGCCCGCATTCGGAGCGCCCGTCCTCCCCACCCAGACTGTGCTCAGCGGCCTCGTTCAGGACGCCCTGGCTGTGGGTGCTGGGCAGGCACCGCTCGCCTCGGGCCTGCGGCAACAGCAGCTAGTGAGTGTCTGCGGGGAAAACCAATCCGCTCTCCTACCCTGGGGCTCTCAGGCACCTTGTCTCACTGCCAGGCCTGCTCCAGTGACCAAGCGGCCTTCCTCCACGAGCCCTAGCGGAGAGGAACGGTCGGGAGCCAAGGTCTGGGGCTGGACTCCTGGTTCTGCCTTTATATGACCTTGGCTGAATCCCCTCTCCTTTCTGGCCCTCAGCTTTTCTCAGCTATAAGCCAAGTATAATGAAAAGCAGTGCTGTTATTCACCAAGTGCCCAGAATATGAGGTCTGTCCAGAAGGTATCCAGCCATGTAATATGAAAAATAGAGACATTTATTGAAGACACAAGAAATACTGTACAGAGGACAATGACGCCTCAGTCCCCTTCAAAGTAGGCACCTTGCACCTTGGGACCTTACATAGTTCTCCCAGTCGCCATCAGCTGCCCCATCGTATTTTCCTGAATCTCACTGACAGTCTGAAATGTTTTCCCTTTCAAAGGTGATTTCAATTTTGGAAAAAGCCAGAAGTTACAGGGCACCGGGTCTGGTGTGTAGCGGGGCTGAGTCACCTGGGTGATTTGATGTTTTGCCAAAATACTCTGCATGAGACGCCAGGCATGTGAGGGTACTTTGCCATGATGAAGCTGCCAGTCACCAGTTGCCCATGGCTGCGGCCTTCTGCTCCCCCCAATAGTTGCCGTGGAGGAATTTTTAAGCTTAGCACAAAATTTGATGCAGATTCCTTTCTCTATTCGCTCAGTCATTTTCAATGTGACAACCACACAGTGCACATGCTCACTCAATGGCATCTACCCCGCTGACTAGCACAGTGAAGTCGTCAGTGTTCACACATGCGCATTCCAGTCCGCTCTCCTTGGCTGCCAGGTTACATCGAAGTGGCGCAAACTGTTCTTGTCATATTAACAATGGCTGGACTTCTTCCAGACAGACCTCTGGGCCATGTGTGTACCTCACCATGATTGCAGGAACTCTTCTGGCTCTGACACCTATATTTTGGAATCATCTGCCGCCCTAATTCTCACAGCTCTGCAGTGAGGTCACCTAGACTCAGCCCCAGCCCTGCCAGTTCCCACCTACAGGGCCACAGGCTGGTTACCTAACCTCTCTGAGATTTGGTTTCCTCACTTGTAAAAGTGGGGCTTCTCATTCAGTTCCTCACCTATAAGATGAGGCTAATATCAGTATCAACCTCATTAGGTTATTGTGATGATTCAAATAGAAGCGTTTGGCACTTAGTAAATGTTCAACAAACGTACGCTTTTATCCCTGTTACTGCTTCACCCACGGCCTCCCCGAGTCGCGCCGGCAGAGAGGTGGAGTGCGTCTTTTGAGCAGCCCTGCATGGCAGCTGCGGCTTCTGAGGACGCAGACCAACTCCTCTCCTCCATAAGCGAGCCAGCGTCCCCGATGTTCCCAGGCCCGCGTGTTTCCCTTGTACCTTCACTTAAGGGGAAACTCCGTACAATCAGAACTCAGGTCCTTTTTATGCATTTAAGGCCAGAATTCATGGTTCAACACTAACATGCAAAAGCTGCGTAAGGGATTGGTAGAACCACCCTGCCTCCAAGGTCAGAAGTGGGATCTGGGGCTGGGGTTGGGTGACAGCCACCAATGGTTAAGAGCCACTCATGACCAGATTACAACAGCCCACTCTTATTATCTATAAAGCACAAGACTCCATGGCAGGGTTTTGGGTACTTGTGCCATTGGATTCTCCATTGGATTCTTACAACAACCCTGCAAGCCAGGTTGTCATCTCCATTTTTCAGAGCAGGAAACAGACCCCTGAAAAGTGAAAGAGGCGGGTGACGTGGGTCAGAGCTGGGACCCGCCCCCTGGCCATGAAGCCCCATTCTCCCCCAGCCCCACACACCTCTCTGAACTGTCCTATGACCCTTGTGAGGTGCAAGAGCTCACTCAGCACGCTCTCTGATGATCTGCAAGCTGGATTCAAACCGTCATTCGGGGAACTGCAGAACCCACTGGTGCTCTAAAAACACGAGATCTGTCCAGTACCTGCAGCACTCATCCATTTTCATCTGCTTTTCATTTGACATGTTTGATATTCTGGTCCACCCATGTGACTGTATGAAGTAGGAGTCTTTAGAGCTGATTTTTAAACATCTGGCTTATTTGGAAAAGCACCTATTATTTCCTTCTGTTTACTGCTGAGTCTTTTGAAAGACCTATTTACACTTGTTACTCCATTTCCTTGCCTTTCAATTACTTTGCAACCCATACCAGCGCGTGGCACACGCTCGCGCGCTCTCTCTCTCTCTCTCTCTCTCTCTCTCACACACACACACACACACACACACACACACAGGGAAATTCACGAATGTGCACATGCACATCCTTCCCAAGACCAGTGGTGGCGTCCTTGTATCTAAATTTACTGGACAAAACAGATGCTAACGAGGCCTCGTCATATCGGAGCTCTTTGACGGCACCCGCAGAGCCCAGCAGAACTGGTGCCCCCTCCCTTGTTCAACATCCGCATCCCTGGCTCTCAGCAGCGCACTCCTGACGTTCGTCTCCTGGTGACCCCTCCTCTGTCTCTTGCTACCTCCTGCCTGATGTCCACTGTTAATAGTGGGTTTCCAGGGGGTGCAGTCTTTTTCTTTTAATTTTTTCATTATCCTTTTACTATTGGTAAAATACAACAGAAAATTTACCTTCCAAACCATTTTAGTGTACAATTCAGTAATGTTAAAAGATAGGTCTGGCTAAGGAAACTTGGGTTTTCATCGTGTTTAAGAACATTCACATGGCTGGGCAACCAATCTCTAGAACTTTTTCATCTTGAAAAACTGAAAAGTTACACCAACTAAACAACTCCCCATCCCCCTAACCTCTGGCAACCAACCGCCATTCAACCTCCTGTTTCGATGAGCTGGATCACTCTAGGCATCTCACACCAGCGGAATCGTGCTAGATCTGCTGTTTGTGCTTATTTCCCTTAGCATAATGTCCTTAAGGCTCCTCCATGTTGCAGCCTATGACAACGTCCAGAGGGATCCGTCTCAGACTCTCAGCTCTTCCCTCTCTGAGCTCCTTAGCGTATCATATTCACTTCCCTGACTTCAATTACCACCTAGTAGGTTAGAACATATGGAACTATCGATATTTAACAGTTTCTTAAATTTTATTTTCAGAGTACATTTATTAAAGCTGGGGACAGTGAAACAAAAGAAGGTCTTGGGGCCCTGGCCGGTGTGGCTCAGTGGATTGAGCACCAGCCTGCGAACCAAAAGGTTGCTGGTTCGATTCCCAGTCACATTCTTGGGTTGTGTGCCAGGTCCCCAGTAGGGGGCGTGCGAGGCAACCACACACTGATGTTTCTCTCTTTCCCTCCCTTCCCCATCTCTAAGAATAAGTACGTAAAATCTGTAAAAATAAAAAAAAGTAGGAAGGGCCTAGTGTAGAAGAAGGAACTGGAAAGACCTAGGCGGGGGTGCTTCCGGCTCACTAAAAAGTCTGAGGAAAGTGGGCCTTGAGGACAGGTTCGAGGGTTAGCCTGGGATGAGCTGCTGCTGCCCACTGCTCCCTTGGTTGTAAGTCTCATGGGGCCCCTTAGAGCTTCGGGAGGAAAGGTAAGGACCCGTGCCTGGGGAAGACAGGGGTGGGCATGCTCCGGAGACAGCCCGGATATCTAACAGTTTCTGACCTGCCAAAGTGGCAATGTCTCTAACTTGGACTTCTCGTTTAAGGTTTCAATCTGCATATCGAACCGCCTTTTCAGCATCTGTCCTTGGATATCTCACCAGCATCTTCAACTCAAGCTGACAAAACCTGGTTAGCCACCTGATTGCTTAAGACTAAATCTGGGCACCATCCTTGCCTGTCCCCTTTCCTTCATCTCTCACACCCGATGGCCAAGGCCCGACAGTTCTACATCTGAGATAACCTCGCATCCACCTCGCTCTGCCTCCTCCGCTTGTTGCCTCGGCCCAGGCCCGTCTTCTCCAGCACGAGTCCCTGCAGCAGCCGCACTGCCGTCCTTCCCCGCCGCCCTCCGTCCCTACTGCAAACCATTCCCCACTTTGTCACCGGCGCTTAAATTGTCGGTGGCTTCCCACGGCTCTCAGGACAAAGGTCCACGTCCTTAACCCACACGCCACGAGTGGACGCTTGCTCGTCTCCCCAGCACCCTTTTGCCCCACGTTGCCTCCCGCCCTCTGCGAAGGCTTCCCTGAGGCCTGCTTCGCTGTGGCCGGTTGCTTCCACGGCAGCCCGCTCCTCTGCTCGGAGGCTCGTCACACTTGTCATTTGCTCAATGCATCTTCTCTGTAGACTCCAAGTTCCATGAGAACTTGGACAATACCTCTTGTCTATTACCATATATACAATTCCTGGCATATATTACGAAAGAGATCAGCAAATACTTTTTGACTACGTATGAATGTTATAAGACCTGAAGTCTGTCCTGAGCTCAGGGGCTGAAGAAAGCTAGAGACCAGCACGGGGCCGAAATAGCAGACCTGCTGTGGGGGCGGCCAGGCCGCAGTGACGGGGTGAGGCAGAGGAGGGCGGCCCGGGGGGACGCCGAGCGCTTTGGAAGCTGGAAGGACCTGGCTGCCAGAATGGGATGCAGCTTTTAGTTTTAGTTCTTCAGTTACCATGAGAAAAATGTGAGCCTGGAGTATAAAGTGAACTCCAAGTCTTGTTTATTCTGCTTGGTAGATGCCACCTCTAGCCTGGGTGGCGGAGATCTAGATCCTCTCTGGGTCACCCCACATTGGGCCCAAACTGTCATGAGACACTTGCCAGGAGCTCCACGGAAACTATTCTCTGGACCCAACACAGACCTTGACCTCTTTCAGTGCTGCCTCTGCTGCTGCCTAGTGCAGGGCCCAGGACAAATCACTTCATCTTTCTTTCTTTAAAAAAAAAAATTACTGACTCATTTTAGAAAGAGAGCAGGGTGGGGGAGAGAAATGTTGATTGGTTTTTCCATGTATTTACGCATTCATTGGTTGATTCTTGTAGGTGCTCTGACCGCGTATCAAACCCGCAACGTTGGCGTATCTAGATGCGGCTCTAACCAACTGAGCTACCCGGCCAGTGCCCCTTCATCTTCCTGACCCTGATGTCCTCATTTTTAAGATGAGGGTAATAAAACTTGCACAAAAAAGTTGTTGTGAGGATTAAATCAGGTAATCACGGTGAGGACATCCAGGCTAAGGCCTGGACAACAGTAGCCTTTGATCGGTAAATGCAGGACAACTGAGGGAATGGGCGAAGGAGAGAACAAGCTGCGACGGATCTGAAGCCAGCAGGGAAAGGCAAGCTGCTAACAAATCGAAGTCGGCTGCTAAGGCAGAGCCCCGTCAGCGAAGTCACTGCTTGCGCGCCTCAGGTCCATGCCCACCTCTGAGAGCCGGCGGCCAGCGGGGCTCGGTGCCTCTGCTCCCATCCTGCACCGGAAAAGCCTTCTGCCAAGTGCGCTCTGAGCCAGAGGCAGGAGTTTTGGAGCCGGACAGTGGGAGACCCACCCTGATGTTGTCACTGGTCAACCTCAGGTCATGTCAGCTCTATGTCCTTGAGCAAATCACTCTGAGTCTCATCTTTTTTATTTGTGAAGTGGGAAAACCATGCCTATATATAGGAATGCTGTGGGATTAAATTATAATGTATATGTTAATATCAAAGGGGCATGTGAGGCTCCTACTCCTCTGCCGAGGTTTTCATGGAAGATTTTGGCCGCCCTTTAAAGCAAATGCCCTAAGCAAGGAAAAAACCAACCAACCAACCAAGGCTACAGTTCTAAGATTACACGTGGAATTTAGACAAATGGAGGAGGGTGGGCACAGAAAGGAGGCTCTGGCCTGAGATAAGAGAACAGAATGGGCGCAAGGTAAGATACACAGCGCCTGAGTCCGGCCAGCAGACAAGGGATGCGGAGGAACGGCCAGGGCAGGGCCGAGGAAAGGAGGGCCAGGAACCGGAGCAGAGAAGGGTCAGCTGCAAGAGACCCCTGGGCCATGCCACTGGGGTGCTATGCCGTTCCTATCAGTCACAGGCCAAAACAGGGGGCTGTCGTGAAGCAGGGTTCTGAGGAACTCGGCCCTGAGGTTCACATGAGACTGCCCCTGTTAGGCGGAAGGCACTGCCCGTGTGGGGAACGGCAAGCCAATACCAGCCGCCCCTTTCCAGTTTTGGAGAGGTTTGTGCAGTGGGCCCTCAGTGGCACTGGGGGCGCAGCTCTGCTCCAGAGCTCTGTGCCCGTTCCGGCCACCGCCTCGCGCCACCTCGCGCCTCCTCTCTGCCAGTGACGGCCTGTGCTGGGAGGGCCGTGGCCCTCTCCCCTGCCCACGGGTGGCCTGGATGTCTCCGACACCCGCGTGCCCACCTCTCCAGCACCGTGGGAAGAGCAGCACGTGACTCTGGGAGGCGGCACCCCTGAGGCCAAGTCGTTGGTAGCTGGGTGCTACGGGGCCTCAGGTGGTGACCACCTGGTGCTGGATCTGCGCCGCGAGGGAAGGAAGCCTGAGGGCCACACGTGTGCTCACACAGGCTCCCGGGGCAGGTCTGTGTCAGTCCTGGTGGCTGTTGCACCTTGATGGGGAGACGCAGTGGGTGCCCGACAAATACCGCCTGGCTGAACGAGACAGTGGCCTTGCCTCTCCCCCAGCCTCCAGGCTGGGAGCAGCTACCGCGGCGGGAGGGGCTCCACACGTGCTGGGCACCCTCCCTGGGCAAGGCTGGTGAGCGGAGCGTGTGGCCAGCGGAGTAGCAGGCAGGACATCCGGAGTCAGGACGCTTTGCTTCCCTACGCTGCCCTGGGAGCACAGCAGGCCCGGCCGCGGGGGTGGAGGGGCCCCAAGGACACCCTGAAATCCGGCAGGAGCTGCAAGGCCTTCATACAAGAAATCGGGCGGCAGGGAGTTCAAATCAGAGGTTGCAAACGGGTGGCCCTTGGTCCGAATCTCACAGGGTTTAACATTTTAAAAAATCGGTCACGCATTTAAAAATAAGGATTCTTATTCAAATCTGGCTTCTAGATTCTTTTGCCAAATGGACAGATATGGTCACACATGGCTAGAGCTGGCTTGGAGGGCGGGCAGGCCTTGGCCGACCGCTTCCCCATCCGGCCCTTCCCCTTGCTGAAGCCTCCCACCCGCCTCTGCGGTGCCCGAGTTCGCCTCGCCTGGCCCAGGAGGAGCGGCGCGGCCTTGGTGGGCCAGCCCTGACCCGGCTCGGGTTTGGGCTGGGCCCTCTTAGGCCTCCTTACCTGATGAGTCGGCGACAGCAGGGTCTGCCAGCCGCCCATAGTGTGCCATGAGCTTGAGCTTGGTCTCCTGTTTCCTGTGTTTCTTGCCCACATAGTGTTGTTGGGCCATGACAGGGTCGTTGAAAGTCGCGTGGCAGAGGCTGCAGAACTTGTCTGGGTCTATCATCTCTCTATTCTGGTGCGAGGCTAAGGTGGAGGCCACAAGGAAAGGGTTTGTAAGGCGTTTCGACAGAGCTGTGGCGAGAGAGTTCAAACAGAAACAATGAAAAAAACCAGCAGGTGCCAGGCTTTCAAGCGCGCAGAATGCAAACGGAGGCTGGCCCCTAGCTAATCGCACCTGCACACGGGGCCCTGCCGTCGCGACTCACACAGTGAAAGCTGCCAAGGTCTGGGGGGGCTACTTTGTTCCGCGACTTTAGCTACTTTAGGCACCTGAATCCTGTTTTCTCAGGGCCTGAGGAAGCTCGCACTTTCGCTACCAAGTTGCCAAATGACAGGCTAGAGATGGTACATGCTCGCAGTCTTTTATCCTTCAGAATTCCCCAGACCGTCACAGTTTGGGCGTCTCACTCCCATCCTCACAGTACCCAGTTAGAGAGCCGGGAGCTGATGCACAGCCATAGAAACTGAGGGTCTGGGGCAACTACGCTAGGAGGCCTTTCAGGCTACCATGCCCTCTGGGCGGGGGTGGGGACAGAAGAGGACGATAGTGCTGTGTTCTAGAACTGCTCCATGAATATCGTACCATTTTGCTACATTAGAGAAAACCCGAGTCTCACAGGTGAAATGACTCGCCCAAGGCCATCCAGCGAGCGGACCCAGGTCTGCGTGATCCTCGGGGCCGGGCCCTCCTTGCTCTGCCAGGCTGCCAGAGCGCGGCAAGGAGCCCTGACAGCAGTTCCCTGGCTTTGGTCAGCACGTTCCGTGCACTGCGCCTGGCACGGGCACACGTGTGAGCCTCCTGTGGACCAGCAGATGTCCTTCCTAGTGCTGACCGCAGGTGCGCTGCTGCCTTACAAAGTGGATGCCGTGACTCACCGTTGAGGCCACGTGGCTGGAAGCGTGTGGGTCTAGTAACCGCTGCTTTAAAAAATGTGACCTAGAACCCCCGCTGAGGGAGGGGGCGGGGTGGGGCTCAGCAGCACTCACGGGCGGCTCGAGCGCTCTTTGACTTTGGTGCGCGCCACTCGGGGAAGCTGGGGGAAGCTGGGAGGACTGTTAGCAAGCCGGAAGGCGCTCGCTGGCTTCTCCACAGTGACTTTCCAGTACAGAGAACCTCAATTTCTCTGGCCATTGTTTCAGCAAGTCACTCCAAAAGTAACGTGCATGTTGCAGAATATTTAATAATGAGAAAAATATTCAGTATATGGGGTTGAGTTAAAAAGGTTATACAGAAATGCTTCTTATGTCCTCAATAATGTAAAACCACCATAAAAAACATAATGGTGATGTATGGAAAAAAGACCAAAAGCACACATAGAGTAAAAGGGTGCTATTCAGTATTTTCCAACTTTTCTACAATGAATGTAGATTTTTGACATCAGAAAAGAGGGAACAGTTGACACAAAGGTCCTTCTCTAACAGACACTGTGGAGAAGCATCGGGGCGAGGCCAGGCAGGGGAGCCGCCCGGGGGCAGCCAGTGACCCTGGGGGCTCCGGCGCTGTCTCGCGGGAAGTGGCCTGAAGCGTGGGGAGTGCCCCACGCGGATGCTCCCCGCAGCTACTTCTGAATACCAGAAAGGGAGGGAGGAACATCAGAGGGACGGTTAAAGGCGGTGTGGTGAGGTACTTATAGTCATTAAAAGTGCTTATGAAAAAGTTTAATAACATGAGGAAAACACAAATGTTATATTAAAATGAAAAGAGTATAAAAGAAAATTACACACACAATATGATTATAGCATTGTGAAAAGATACACACGCAGTTTACATGTGTGAGCTGTATTTTGAAATGTCATCAGCATATTAACAGTATTTTTCTCTTGGTGGTAGAATTTGGGTGAAATTTTTTCCCCTTTGTACTTTTGCATTGTTTGAACTAGAATTATCCATGATTATTTAAAGTACTGTATGTTTCTATGGACATATACATGGATTTAATATAGACATAGATAAAACAGATATACACACAGATATACACACATACGCTAACAAAAGATTATAGAAGACACAGTGCTACAAAGTGTTAACAGTGGTTATCGCTGAATGGTAAAATTATGGGTATTTTTTCTTTCTGTTTATCTCTATTTTCTACAACATGTGTGTATTACTTTGTATTAAAAAGGTTTAATTTCAGAAATATAGCTATAAGCTCATGTAATAACAGGAAATGTGATTAAACTAGAAAATTAAAAGGAAAGCAGGATGCATGTATGATGATTGTGACTATACAAAAACATACGTGCATGTGGCAAAGGCCGAAGGTATGTATGGGAAATAAACTCTGAATGTGGAATCTTTGGGACCAGGCACATTCCAGAGAATTTTCCCATTTGTGGAAAGTTAAGTCCATATAAAGATAACTGAGTGACCTTAGAAAGTTCTGTTCCTCAGCTGGTTTCACGGCCTAACGTTTAATCGTTTTGGTACCATGAGTGGTACCAGAAGCGAGGCCAAGGACACGCTCCGGGCGGCGGGTGCCTGCCCCGCTGCTGCGCCGGGTGGGGGATTCCACGCACTGGCTGTCTTAGTGACAGCGGTAACACTCGCAGCGGCTGCTGTCAGGTCCCGGGCACCCCTCATGTCCGCTGTTCCTTATATAACTATTGTTTCATCCTCACAGCCTACGAAGTAGAAAGCATCATCAACACTCTATGGGTGAGGAAACTCAGGCCTGAAGAAGTCAAGTCATACAGATGGTCAATGGCAGCCCTGGGATTTGAACCTGGGCGTCTGGGAGTTCGAGGTCCATGTTCTGTTGTTTCACAGCGTGAATAACTAGATTTGGGTGTGATAAGAGGGTATAACTATAGGTGATTTGTTTTACTGTCTTCAAAGTCTTCCAAAACATTGTCTTGTTTTCATGATACAGTAATTAAAAAAAGGATATTAAGTATTATAGATAGTAAAGTCTATTTCTTGGTCCAAAATGGAGAGAAGCAAAAATTACAAAGAAAAAAATAAAGGTAAAAGAACTTTCACTCTTGACTAACTGCCGTTAGCAGAGGTGCAAAACCCCCAGAAAGTCGGGAGTTAATGAGAGGGAAGCGCGGCCCAGGGGCGACCAGAAAAGGGGCTACTTTAGAGAGAAGTCACTTCATTGGAGTGAAAGGATGCCCAGCAGCTGCAAACAAGCTCCCGGGCAGCAGTGGCCACACTGAGCATTCAGCTTTGAAAGGCAAGTCCCTGGCTTGAGGAGAAGGGGCAGCTTTGAGGATTAAAGTGAGCAGGGCATGACCTGAGCACACCCAAAAGACAAGGTTTCAGCTTTTAAGTTGGGACGCAGGAGAGTGAGGGCAGCTGGATGCTGGGCGGGAGAACCTGGGCGGGAGCGGCGGGCCGCAGGAGGCGCTCGCGGCGGGCAGGCCTGCAGGGCTTCGGCCCTCCGGGGTCACAGTTTAGTCAGAACAAAAAGCTCAGGGCTGAGAAGCTTCTATAGAGAAAAGCTGACGTAACCAAAGAAACGCAGGTTAGGGGAGCACAGCTCTGAGGCTGCATTTCGATGAAGCTGTGTCCTACTTTTCTATTTTTAACGGCTCTCAAAAGCAGTTGAACCTCTCCAAGTCTGTGGCCCCAGTGGGCGTTCCTGGGAGCACCTGGCTCTGGTGCCCTGAGGACGGGAGGGGCCCAATATAGCACTACTCAGGAAAACCAGTACCTTCCACCTTAGTGGATTGCTGCTTCAGCTTTAAGTTCTTTGCGTGGGTCTTCCCCAGGTAGTGCGACTGGGCCACGACAGGGGAGGAAAAGGTCATGTTACAGATGGGGCAGCACTGGTTCTTGTCTTTGCTTCTGCTGCTCTTCTGGTTGGGAGAAAGAACACAGGTCTGATCACGTCACTGCCCGGCCAGAAAACCTTCCATGGTTCCCCACTGCCCACGGGAGGACGGGCACGCAAGGCCCCCTTCGCACGCTGCCCCGACCTACCTTTCTGGATTCCTCTCCAGCTAACTCATCCCAGGCTCTACTCACCATTCCCCACTTGACGCTCTGAGGCTTTCTTGCTTGGCTTGGGCCATTCTTGTTGCCTAGAGCGATCTCCCTTCTTTCCTGCCTGGCATATGTCTGCTTAGCCTTCAAGGCCCAGATTAGATATATTCCCTCTTCTGGGAGACTTTTAGTCAAGCAAATCATTCAGTGAACAATTAGCAAGCCAGGCTGTGAGGTTCTAGGGAGAATGTCGCCCCCGCTCTGCACTCCCAGAGCGCCTGAAACAGACCTCTACGGCACACTGCCTGTCACCCTGCGCTGACAGCACCAGAGTCCGGGAGGCCTTCCTGCGAACTGAAGGCGGGTGCTGGGGCACGGCCCGCCTGGCGCATCTTCGCTGCCTGTCCTCCGCGCCCCGCTGGAGTCTGGCCCACAGCGGATGCTCAGGGCTTGCTGAGCGAGCAGCCCACTGGGTTTTATTTGTTGATACGATTACTAGAAAACAAGACAGTGTCTTAAACCTTGGCACCATTGACATTTGGGGATGCACAATATTTTATTAGGGGTGGGGAGGAGCCTGTGATCTTATTTGAGTTACTGGGCCACCCTGGGTTGAAGGACCCGAAGTACAAAGAGGTGCAGGCAGCGCTCTGCCCAGGTCCCGGCGTGGACCCTGGCTTTCTGAACTCTAACTCACAGGGGGAAGGGCAGCCAGGGCTCGGTCTAGTGGACTGGGGAAGGGACGGCCATGGCCCTTCCAAACCTGCGGCCACTGCAGGAGGTGGCGCAGTTTGTAAACTACTTAATGTCCGCTAGGAATTAAAAATTTACCTCATGATACCCCAAAGAGGTAGGAATTACTATCTCCATTTTATGGGCAAAGTACACAGCGGTTAAGTGATTCACCCAAAGCCATCCAACCAGTAAGTTGCAGACCTAGTACAAGGCCCTGGTCTGCTGACTTCTTATCCCTAGATGCCTGCGCAGCCTCCCACGGACGAGGAGTTATGGCGCCCCTGAGGGGTTATGGTTGTTTCAGCGTAATTCCCACAGTGTTCAGTATCTCTCAGCCAAAAAGCAAATGCGTGTACACCTCCACCAGAGCACGCAACTGGAAAGGTGTTCCTTCCGCTCCTTTATTCCAAACATTCGAGGGCTGCACTCAGCTCTTTTCCCTGCCTCAAGAAAGCAAGCAGCCTGGCTTCCCTCCACTTTGCGTCCTTGAGGAGTGGTGGGGCAGCTTCTCGTCCCCTCCAGGAAACCACTGGGGGCCACGCCCGGCAACAGCTCCACTGCTGAGCTCCTACTATGGGCCAGGCTCTGGGCGGGGTGCTTCTTCCTTCCCTCACTTTGGTTTGGAAAATCCTAAAACATGGTTGATGCTAGCACCCTCATCTTTCTGGAGGAAGAGAAAGGCTCAGGGAAGTGAGGAGACTTGCCCGCGTCCCAGGGCGGGGCGGGGGTGCGAAGCCGAGGCAGCCTGGCCGAGAGCCGAGCTCCTTTACCACACCGACCTGCCCGCCGGCTTCACCAGGAAGTGAGCGGTCTCAATGTGGCAGCTGGATTACCTGATCTGAGTCTAGCTTCTTCGTTTCCCCCTTTAATGTCTCCATTCCATGGATTGCTAGGTATCTCTTCACTTTGTTGGCATGTTTTTTGCTCTGTAAGAACCCAGGAAAAAGATCAAAGATAGCCAAATGCCATTTCATATCTAGGCACTCAAAAATACTTCCTAGATTTTCACCTGATTCATTCTCACAGATCTTTTGAGCAGGAGAGGGCGTGGGAAGAAGCCTAGCTTATTGAGTTCCTGCTCTGTTCAAGGCACTTTACAGGCTGTCATTTAATCTTCACAACAATCTATGGGAAAATTACCATCATCTCTATGTTATAGATGAGGAAACAGAGGTTGAAGATGGTGACGTTTCTTGCCCAAGGTGACTAGCAGAGTCAAACTCTGGTCTATTCAAAGCCAAAATGCATACTTTCTACTACACGAGCTACAAGGAAAGATATGTGTATCATGATCCTGATTTGGATGCGAGAAATGAGACTCGGAAAAATTAAGTCAGTCTTCAATACAGTCAACATGCGTGGAGGCAGCATTTGGGTGGCTACAGGAATTGCGCTTCGCTGTGCAAGCCGGGGAGGCGGGGCGTGGAAATGGGTCTGGAGCAGAGCAGCTCTAAAGGCGCTACGGCGTACCTGGTAGTGAGCCAGCTTCTGGGACTCCGAAATGAGCAAGGCGCAGCACACCTTACACTGGGTGTTGGTGAAGAGACACTGGTTCCTCTGGATCATGTGCTCCACTACAGGGAGGAAAATGAAAAACCTCTGAGTTAAAAGTCTGCTTTGATGTCTTTGAACTCGGCTTCAGACGCAGGCACAGAGTAATGCAACACCATGTGAGTCTACGCCCTGGCAAACCTCAGTCCCTCTTCCCCTGCTGTGTTCCTGACTCATACTATGTTCTCACACCATCTATACTATTACTTACTTTATAATGTCATGTAAGCCAACTTTATTTACTACATAGTTTTTTAAAAATTTCAACTGATAAATAATTGACATGTAACATTATATTAATTTCAGATGTACAATGTAATGATTCGGTATTTGCATACACTGTGAAACGATCACCACAGTAAGTCTAGCTAACATCAGTCACCACAGACTTGCAATTATTTTCTTGCTTTAAGAACTTTCGGGATCTACTTTCTTAGCAACTTTTTAAAAAATTGATTTTACAGAGAGGAAAGAAGAGGTGTGGGGGAGGGAGAGACGGAGAGAATCACTGGTTTGTTGTTCCATTTATTTACGCATTCATTGGTTGTTTCTTGCATGTGCCCTGACCCGGGACTGAACATGAAACCTTGATGTGTCAGGACAACGCTCTAACCAACTGAGCTATCCAGCCAGGGCCAATAACATTGTATTATTTAAATTTACACCGGTATAGCAGTACACACAGAATGGGTTAGAAAATTTTATTGGGGTTTAATTATTAAAAGACTAGAACATTCTCTTTGTATGGAAAGAATGTGAGTTTCGGTTTATTATGGAAACATTAACATTAAAAATTGGTTTTCTTTTAAATGAATCAGGAGATGTGAAAAAGAATCAGAAGATGGTGCTGAAGAAGAAAGGTAAATTAATCCTACTCCTACACAGTAAGCACAAACTACAATCTAAAGCCAGCTAAATGTTTATAGTGCAGGCCATGATTCGGAACTGGGGCCCCCTGGGCGTCTTGCGCTGGGTTCAAATCCTGCTGCTGCCACACACTAGCTCTGCGAGTTTGCAGAAATTACTTAACCTCCATCTCACAGTTTTTTTTTTGTTTTTTTGTTTTTGGTGTAAAATGGGAGCGCTGGTAACACGCATCTCACAGAATGGTTTTTCTTGTGGTTTTCCATGTAAATCACTTAGCATAGCACCTGGCCTAGTATATCCTCAATTTCAGTGTTATTGTCAAATTTTTTTCTGGGACCCGTGGTCCTGAGCAAATTAATTATTCCCTATACTGTACCTACGATGATATTTCTTAATCTAAAACTGAGTAACTTAAAATTTTTCTCATTTCTTTTTTGTTAAAGATTTTTATTTATTTACTTTTAGAGAGAGGGAAAGGGAGGGAGAAAGAGAGGGAGAGAAACACAGATCAGCTGCCTCTCACGCGCCCCCAACCGGAGACCTGGTCTGCGACCCAGGCGTGTGCCCTGACTGGAATTGAACTGGTGACCCTTTGGTTTGCAGGAAGACACCCAGCCCGCTGAGCCACACCAGTCAGGGCTTTTCTCACTATTCTTACTCTGACTTTGAAACATCTGAAATCACCTAACATATTACACAAGCTCTACCATAGGAAACCATGGTATGACCTTGTTCTTAATCGTCAGGTGTTGAGAACAAAACCCTGCCTTTTGGGGAGGGAGCAAAACCTCACCCAGGGCACAAGTCCCATCATGACACCGATAACCTGAGGCGGGGCAGAGTCCGGACAACTGCGAGGACCGCAAGCCCATGTTTTTTATCATCTCTCCTGGAGATGATAAAGTGGCCCAGATGCCCTGGAGGGAGGTTCCTGGTAGACAATGTTTAATGAAACTCTTTTTACTTTACTAGATCTAAAGTTCATCTATGCTTTTGGGCAGAAGGGCTATTGACTGGCTGTAGTCTGCCTCTTGGGGTCTCTTGTTTATTTCCCCATTTTTCTCCTGCCTCAGCTATGCTCAGAGAAACCAAGGGAAGTTGTTCTGTGAATATATCTGGGTGAGAACTTCTTAAATCCTCACCTGAGGATATGTTTATTGCTTTTAGAGAGAAAGGGAGAGACTGAGGGAGGGAGAGAGGGAGAGAGAAACATCGATGTGAAAGAGAAACATTGATCAGTTGCCTCCCGTTAAGCCCCTGGACGGGGGATTGAACCCACAACCTAGGTATGTGCCCTGATGAGGGAATGAACCCGCAACCTTTTGGTATACAGGACGATGCTCCAACCAACTGAGCTATGTGGCCAGGGCTGGGCTAGAGCTTTTTAAAGGGAGGATAAGAGGCCCCTTAGAATGCAAAGTCCACAAAGAGAAGGTGGTATTCAGGAGTCAGAGTCCGGCCATTCTGGCCATGCCTGGAGATGCTGGATTTTGTTGTATAAAGAGGATGCAGTTCCCTTTCAAGGATATTCAGACTCTGACTCCCAAAGACTAAACAGGGGGCAGGGACCACGTCATTTATGACTTTGTATCCCTGGTGTCTGGTATAACACCTGACCTACAGTAGGGGCTAATGAATACCTGCTGAATGCCTGAGATGCCCCCTCTGGCCTCAGACAGTCCACTCGCATAGTGCACAAACGTACCTTCAGCATATGCCTCTACACGCCAGCACTGGGTTTCGTGCTGGGGCCATATCGACGAGTAAGAGTGAGCGCAAAGTAAATAGAAAAACAAGATAGTGACAGTGAGAAACGCTGTGAAAACAAAGAAACAAAGTAAGTGGCGGAGGGCGACGGGGGCAGCATGTCACGACGAGCACTGGAGGAAGCATCAGCCTCTCGACAGGAAGGCCTGGGGGCAAGTGTTCCAGCCTGAGACAGAGCCTCCGCGGTCAGAATGAGTTTAGCACGTTCAAGGAACGGAGGGAAGCCCCGTGTGGCTGGTGTACGGCCAAGGTGAGAGGAGTGGCTGGAAATAAAGTTGCAGAGACAGCAGGAGTGCCGGCGCATGGGTAACTGTAAGGCCTCCCAGCCACGACATGAACTCTGGGTTCTATCCTCAGTGCAACGAGAAGCAACAAGATCTGGCTAATGTTCTGAAAAGATTACTCTGATCAGTGTGTCAGGGGACAATATCTGAAGAATTCAATATCTGAATACAGTATCTCAAATGTAGAATATACTAGAAGGTATCAACAGCAGCTTAGATGAAGGAGAGGATCGGATCAGCGATTTGGAAGACAAGGTCACAGAAAACACCCAATCAAAGCAGCAAAAACAAAAATCTGTGGCGTTGTGGCAGCAGGAGAAACTCCCAGTCTCACAGGAGAGTCCACTGGAGGGGCCCACGAGGTCCTAGAATGTACACAAGCCGACCCACTTGGGAATCAGCACCAGGACAGCACCTCAAAAGGCACAATTCACTTGTGGGAAGTCGGGGAAATAACTAAAAGTGGGGGAGAGCTGAGCAAGCGGCATTATTCCCTCTCTGACCCCTCCCCCACATACAGCGCCACAACACAGTGACCGGAGTTGCCCCGCCCTGGCAAATACCTAAGGCCTCTTACAACGTAACAGGTGCACTGAGACAAAGAAATGTGGCCCAAATGAAAGAACAGATCAAAACTCCAGAAAAAGAACTAAGCAACAAGGAGATAACCAACCTATCAGATGCAGAGTTAAAAACACTGGTAATCAGGATGCTCAAAGAAATGATTGAGTATGGACTCAAAATAAAGGAAGAAATTAAGGCTATACAAAATGAAATGAAAATATACAGAAAATCAACAGTGAAGATAAGGAAACCAAGACTCAAATCAACAATCTGGAACAATAGGAAGAAATAAACATTTAACCAGAACAGAATGAAGAAACAATAAAAAAATCATGAGGAGAGGCTTAGGAACCTCTGGGACAACGTTAAATGCTCCAACATCAAAATCATAGGGGTGCCAGAAGGATAAGAGGAAGAGCAAGAAATTGAAAACTTATTTGAAAAAATAATGGAGAACTTCCCCAATCTGGCAAAGGAAATAGATATACAAGTCCAGGAAGCTCAGAGAGTCCCAAAGAAGCTGGACCCAAAGAGAAACACACCAAGATACATCATAATGACATTACCCAAGATTAAAGATGAGAGAATCTTAAAAGCAGCAACAGAAAAGGAAAGAGTTACCTACAAAGGAGTTCCCATAAGACTATCAGCTGATTTCTCAAAAGAAACCTTCCAGGCAAGAAGGAGCTGGAAAGAAGTATTCAAAGTTATGAAAGGCAAGGACCTACACGCAAGGTTACTCTATCCAGCAAAGCTATCCTTTAGAATGGAAGGGCAGATAAAATGCTTCCCAGGTAAGGTCAAGTTAAAGAAGTTCATCATTACCAAGCCCTTATTACATGAAATGTTAAAGGGACTTATCTAAGAAAAAGAAGAATGTCCTGGCTAGTGTAGCTCAGTGGATTGACTGCAGGCCTGTAAACCAAAGGGTAGCCAGTTCGATTCCCAGTCAGGGCACAAGCCTGGGTTGCAGGCCAGGTCGCCAGTAGGGGGCACGCAAGAGGAAACCACATATTGATGTTTCTCTCCCTCCCTTTCTCCTTCCTTTTCCCTCTCTCTAAAAATAAATAAATAAAATCTTAAAAAACCAGAAAAAGATCAAAACTATGAACAGTAAAATAACAACGAATTCACAACTATCAACAACTGAACCTAAAAAACCCCCCAAACTAAGCAAACAACTAGAACAGGAACAGAATTAAAGAAAGGGAGATCATATGGAGGGTTATATGGAAGGAGGGAGACAGAGGAGAATGGGGGAAAAAGAACAGGAAATAAGAAGCATAATTGGTACTTCAAAATAGACAGAGGGAAGTTAAGAACAATATAGGAAATGGAGAAACCATTGAACTTATATGTATGACCCACTGACATGAACTGAGGGCAAGGGAATGCTGGAAGGAATGAGGGTACTGGGCGGAGGGGCACAAAGGGAAGAAAAGAAATGGGACAACTGTAATAGCATAATCAATAAAGTATACTTAAAAAAAAAAGACACCTCATAACTAAAATGGCAAAGGTTAAACACAAAAGAGAATCTC